TCACTGGAATGGAGTTGAAAATGTCTTGTAATTTTGCAGAGTATCATAGTCCTCATGCTGAGTAAGAAAGAACAAGTACTCTCAAATAGTTGAGGATACAAATGTTAAGTCTTGGCGAGATGTGTAATGAAATCCACAACAGTTGCTAACAATCGCAGTGGGAGTATTATTGTGGAAAAGCTCCAAAGAAACAGTTGTCGTGTCATCAGTGATGCATACCATAGTATAGCTTGACATGAGGCTTAAGGAACATGCAAAAGGAGGTTAAGGGAATTTATACCCGGATTTAACAATGGTAGTCAACAACAATAATCATTTAAAGTAGTTAACTCCTAAGACAACATGTCAAGTGTGCTGCCAAATACATTGACATTAAGTTATATGTTGTAAAGGAGAAAATGCAGAATCATTTTGAAAGCATTGAGCATATGAGTACTAAGCAAGTATTTGTGGATCCGCTTACCAAAGGCTAACCACCTAGTGCGTTCAAAGAACACACATTCAATATGGGTTTATGGGAAAGCCTATGATTTCTAGATACTAAGGGCCTAGTTGAGTATCTGTTTCAAAACAGAGAGGTGCATTGTAGCTGTTAAATTTAATGGCAACTGACCGTGACGATGAGGCACGCTCTATGCACTGATATGTGATGGAATGGAAAAAAGAAAAAAGAAGTTAAGTTTAAGTCATAAGGTGAGATCAATGGGAAAAATGTTAGGTTGATCTCCACCAATTAGCCCAACGGCCAATTGGGTCCTTAATCCGCGCCCTGATCGGGAGCGCTCAGCCTTTTTACTGGCTGATGGGCCCCCGTCGCGCAGCGCCATAAAAGGACGGTGAGGGCTAGGGCACAAAAGACGAGGTTCACCGTAGCCACCAGCGCCCCACCATGTCCTAACCCTAGTCCGATCTAGAAGGGTCGCGCTGTAAGTGACGGGAAGCGTCATCGCCTTCACCGTCGCCACTGGACCGCGTCTCCACGTCACTGCTATCTTGTCGGCGGCGCCATGGCCGCGACTACGCTCGACATGAGGTACATCAGCAAGTCCTTTCATCTAAGCTAAGAATTACCCACTGATCTACGCCTAGAAGTGCTTTCAGTTATATCAAGCTCCACCACACCGTCGTACCCGTACCCGCCAGGGAGTTCCACCACGTCGTCGCACCCGTCCCCGCCACGGAGCTCCACCACGCCGTTGTATCCGTCCCCTCCAGGGGGCGCCATGACTCCGTTGTACCCGTCGCCGCCCACAGATGGCAACAACCCCAAGCCATCAATGTCGCCTTCATCCGGGCCTTCATCCCATGGTGGCTCGCCTTCGTCATCCAGCTACCAGCCGCCGTCGCCGTTGTCCAGGTGGGCACCGTTGGGTCAACCCGTGGGCATCCCACCACCCACAGATCATCCCGGTGGCGTCTAGCCGCCGCACACGCCAACGGCTCCCGGCACGCCAGGATCAGCGTACCCTCCGGGGACACCTGGATCGCCATCCACACCGACGACTCCGGGCACCCCAGGTTCGACATTCCCGCCAACGACCCAAATTCTTCACCACTTGTGTCGTTTCCCTTTTTTTTGGGGGGTCCTTTAGGTTTGCAAATGCAAAAGCATCCCATACCGTACATAGCTATCAACATATCTGAGCTTCCTTTCAAGTTTAAATAAAAAAAACAAGATCTGAGCTTTCTTTGGCAGACGTCGCAGACCATGTAATCAAGCAATAATAGTTTAGTTGCTTTCGAATAGCTAATGCCTGCAAGCCAACGCTATGCTTTGCTAGCATGGAGCATAGCAGCCACAGGCCATGCTTGGTTGGACTCAACTAGTCAACTGCTACTGTACACTCCTGATCGATGCTCCACTAACTAATGCAGTGCTAATTGTGCCCTTGCGAGAAGGCCGACCCAAGTGCCTGCTGCACACGGTAGTCGTAGGGTGGTGCACAAACGTTGGGATACGGCCCAATAGCTTGTAAGACTGTCTTCAATAGGAGACATCAGAGCATCCAAACGCAAAATGGGTCTCCGACAGTACTGTATCGGTCTCCAACATAGTATCTATATAGGAGACCCATTTTAGGTGCTAGGAGAGGCACGACCTAAATATGAATATCCTCTCTCCAGAAGACCCATTTGTAGAAAGTGTTCTCTTTTAAGTCTTGTTGTTGGAGAAGACAAAAAATATGTATTAAAACATTTGCCTGTACCGTTACCCAAATGTAAAATAGGTCTTGTATTTGAGTTCCCATTATTGAAGATAGTCTAAAACGTTTTTGTAGCCTGGTGCCTGTGCACCAGGGTGTGTCAACATGGCTTCGCCCCGTGGGCGGGGTGGGGGGCTCAAGCCCCCCTACCTCTACCGGATCCTTAGAGCCCCCTGAAAAATCATAGCAAGATCTCCAAGATCACTGCATACTAAAAAATTAACATAATCAATTAACGATTTATGGAAACATGGAATTTGTATTAGATCCGAAAGAGTACAACATTAAATTTGTATTAGAAATATGGCTGGAAATTACCAAGTTTAAAAGTTAGAATAGTGGTTGCGGCGTGCGGCCCGGTGCCCTGGCGGGCAGTGGCCGCTCTGCTGCCCACGCGGGCACGCGGCCAACCGGCCACGCCGAGATGCCATCCTGCGCTGCGTAGGTAACTGCGACCTGTGGCCAGGCAGGACCAGGTGGGTGCCGGGCGCCAGGCGACAGTAGCAAGCTGGCTGGTGGCTCCTAGTGTTAGCCGTCGAGGCGGCGGGCTACCCTCGGCAAGGACGTGGGGTGGAGTATCAGCTGGACCTAGGATCTAGGATTTTAACTCAGGGTATGCCGTCTAAAAAATTTCACATACAATTCGGTAAAACCATTTGGTGATTCGGTAACATTTGAATTTTTTAATGTAATTCGGTATATACGTACTAAATAACAAGATAAGTCTTAAATTCGAAGAATAAGTTAAAAAATCCACAAATACAAAACAATTAATTCAAGCTTCATACTGGTAGTTTTAAAAATATAAATAATAAACGAGAGTAAGATTTGAAGTAGCAGCAGCAACGACCATCACCTTCTTTATTCATGTTTGTGAAAAAGAGATGTAATGCTCCCAACTTTCTTTATAATTGTACCGCGTGGAAAGCGGGAGAGCACCTCTCAAAAACGTTCTTTATAATTGTACAAATATGAAAAAAAAAACAGAATGCCAAATCATTAAACATATTGTTTTTGCATGAATCGAATTCCTCAGCACAACTAGACAAACAAACACCGACCTGGTATGTACTGAATTGCTGATCAATCTCGATTGTCATTGATGTTGGGGCAAATCCCCGATCTCGCTGCACCTGCACGGGGGATGATTTTATGATGTTAGCAACTAGCAGTGAAAGTAGACATAAATTTTCCATAAAAAAACGGAGAGCGGAAGATGCCGAATAGAAAAAGATTGAATCTTACCTAAACCAATCCAAGACAGTGTGCGGTGACTACTGAGTCGACGAGGTTCCGTGCTGGTATTTTACACATTGGCCGCATGCCTGTCTCCATCTCTTGTGCGGCCGTGCGATCAGTTGATCTCTCGCGACGCGGCGTGGACGAGGCGAGACGGGAAACCGCTGGATCAGCCGATTAGGGCATCACGACGGTCAGGCGGCGCAGCGATGTGGCGTGGCCGCATGGGTGGCGCATTGACATGAATGGGGCCGTGCCCGCAGTGGGCCGCGTGGGCCTCCCATCACGCGGTCATGGTCTCCCACTCGGGCCGTGCGGACGTACTGCGTGCGAGCCAGCGGCCAATGGGCGAGCGTCCACGTAACATTTCTTCTTTTTCCTTTTTTCAAAAATACGTATAGATACGGTAAGGTTTCCTGGGCTCGCCACTTTATTACGTAGCACCACGTCTGTTCACACACCTGTGGTCCTATACAGAGAATTTCCATTGCATGTTTTTACATAGCAATTTATACTTTGCACATGTCATTATTATTTTCCATCGAAGTTTCAGCACATGCCACTGGGCTGTGGGCTGTGGCTCAATGGAACTTTGATTACGGATTCTGTGAGAGCATCTTCTAGCTGAAGGCAAATCATGGAATATGGTTATTAGTCAGCATAGGCACGCTTCTGTACCTCTAGAAACATCATGCAGATTTGTGAGAGATAGGAGCGTACTACTCCCTTAGAAGGATTTTGAGAAAATTAATTTGGTTTGCACTTTATGATAAATTGTCATTGTCATTTTCGAACTAGAGAAAATAGGCTTGTAAGATGTATGAAATGGCAACGACTCCATCCGAGGAATTTTGCGCTTCTCGTTGCATAACTGTAGACACGCTTCATTTGCAGGCCTTGTAGCTGTTAGTACCCAGTATTCAGAAATCATAAGTAAAAGTTCACTTGTGTACATGACCTCGGTCCTTTGGAAATACAGCCATACAGGACGTTTTCCCATGAAAATAAACTGCTTTTGAAATTCCTATACGATTCTTGCGAAAGGCTCTGCCTCAGTTTTTCGGTGATCAAACCAAGCTAAGAAAGTGAAAATTTGTCCGGTTTAGAATCCATGGGCGCGTTTAGTTCCGGTCGAAGTTGGCGCCTACGGGGTGCACTGTAGTATTTCGTTTGTATTTAGTAATAATTGTCCAATCATTGACTAATTAGGTTCAAAACGTTCGTCTCGTAAAGTATAACCAAACTGTGCAATTAGTTTTTGATTTCGTCAACATTTAGTACTCCATGCATGTACCGCAAGTTTGATGTGACGAGAATCTTTTTTTTACATAGTGCCAAATTCAGAAAATTAGGGGAACATAACCCATATAGAGATTTAACAACTTGGCACATCTAGTAATTCATTCATCATGCTCCGATTTGAGGACGATCGAATCAGAGCCGTCCATTTTGTTAACAGTTCGGGGTTCAGCTCGGCTGCCGCGAGCGCGCCGACTCCCCGCTCCCCGGCCGAACGAGACGAAGCAGGGTCCAGATCTCTATCCCCCATCTCCGGCGATGGCTTCGCCCTACGCCGGCGGCGTGCAGCCTCCCTCTCCCGCTGCGGCGGTGCAGCAGCAGAACCATTCTCTGGCGTTCCGCGTGATGCGGCTGTCTCGCCCCTCGCTCCAGCCAGACCTGGCCGCGCTGCTCCGCTTCGACCCACGCGACGTCTTCCTCCCTGAGGACGCGCTCACCGGCTCCGACCCGTCCGCCGCCGCCAAATTCCTCGACGGACTTCTCCACCCTTCGGACTCCGCCACCGCCGTCCCTGGAGACTTCACCTTCCGCGACCGCTTCCTACTCCGCGACCCAGCCGACGCGCTCGCTCTGCCGGGCCTCCTCGTCCTGCCCCAATCGTTCGGGTTCGCTTCTCCCCCTCCCAATTCCTGATTCCTGATTCCGGTGTCCTGTCCTGCTCCAGTGCAGCGATCGCTGATTTTGGTGTTGTTCTTGTGTGTGCGTGGCTAGTGCGATCTATTTGGGCGAGACCTTCTGCAGTTACATCAGCATCAACAATAGCTCCAGCTTTGAGGCCAGGGACGTCGTCATCAAGGTGTTCTATCGAGTGAAACCTCTTTTTATCTGACAAATTTAGAGATGCATTTTCTTCAAAATTTTAGAAATGCATTTGAACTCTTGGGTCATTCTGGCAAACTGGATTAAATTGGTTAGTGATAACTGATAAGTACATTTACAACTGATTAAACATATAGGTTACTGCATTTGTTCTAGTATCGGATCTCGAATATGAGTGGTGCTCTTTGCTGTCACCATGTCATGAGCCAAGGTTTGGATCATCAGTCACTAGATTACTCAGTGCACTTGTTTCTCATATGCTATGTCTCTGCATAGTAGGATGAGTAAGTTGAAATGATTATAAATTCAGTAGGAAATTTAGTTAAGAATTTATTCCAGATGGTCTGTTGCTTTTGTGCTGGAATGAGTATAGTTCTGATGATACATTAGCAAGTTTCTCTCTATGTCAAAACTTGTGGTACACAATTACCTTGAGTTTTACAAGCTATAACTGGATTCAGTAGAGCAACTTTTTTTATGCACATGAGTCGTGAGCTAGTAAAGCAACCAACCATCTGATGGATACATGGGAACCTAATATTCATGCAATTTCATGCTCTTCCCCTTATGATCAAGAATCCTTTTTTAGCATATCTCACGTTGTTTGATTCATAAATTATTACTTTATGCTATTTATGGATGCTTGTAAACTGTAAAGTTCTATATGTTTTCTCAAAGATAATTTGTGGACATATTTGAAGTAAAATAATTTGCATTGATATAATCGTTGCAGCCAAACTCCGCCTATGGTGGGGCGCCTTTGGTGTCCCAGCATAGCAGGTCCCAAGCCCTGGTAAAGGAGGAGAGTTGTGTTAGGTGCGGCGAGCCAATGTAAAAACTTAGCCACTTTAATGGAGATGAAACCCAAAAGATAATCGTTGCAGCCAAATCCTAAATTCCTTACTTTCATCATATCCATAATGTTTTTTCTCAGTGTGGATAGACTAGAAAAATGTATGTATTCTCCCTCTATAAATATCTAATGCTGGATGCATTTACTGCTGCTTATTTCAACATAAAGTTTGACTGGTACCTTACTTACACTAGGCGGAAATACAAACAGAGAGACAGAGAATACTTCTTCTGGATACATCAAAGTCCCCTGTCGAGTCAATTAGATCAGGGGGTAGATATGATTTCATTGTGGAGCATGATGTCAAAGAACTAGGAGCACATACGTATGTTCCTTTTCATTTTAATATTATTCGTATATTATTCCTTTGCTAAAAGCAATCCTTTTTGTTGATTTGCTCATTTAGTGGTTGAATCCAGGCTTGTATGTACTGCTTTATATAATGATGGTGATGGAGAGCGTAAATATCTTCCCCAGTTCTTTAAGTTCTCTGTTTCAAACCCATTATCTGTTAGGACAAAGGTAACCAGTTTTCATTCTACCTTCTAATCTCAGAGTTGATAGAAGAAGCGGAACAAGATTATACAGAAGTCTTATCATAATTTGTGTACATCCTTTTCTTTTTCAGGTTCGCACCATCAAGGTAGGTCACCTGTTGACCTGTTGTTGTGCAAGTGTAAACAACAATTGTAGGTTCTTTGGTTAGTTGTAGATGCCATCTTTAGAAATCTTAACTGGTGTATATGAGGGTCATTACAGATTGACAATTATAACTTAAAAAATGATTTGCGATTAGGTGAGTAGTTTTTGTGTTTCATATAGATGTTTATGTTTTGTTGTATGAACTAACAGCTCTCCCATTTTTTCTTAATAATATTTACCAAGATTTTTCTTTGGTATTTCTTGCCATCCCATGGAAGCTGAGCTAACTCAGTTGGTTAAGGGTGTGGATGCACACTCAGATCACCCAGGTTCAAGTCCTCATCGAGGCGACTTTGGGTGCCTGTTTTCTTCTTAATATAAAAGCCACCTATCTCCTCCTAGGTTGATCTAGTTTTTTTTTTCTTGCCATCCCATTTGTTGTGCTTCTGTAGTTTTCAATACAGTGCTTTAGGCTTTTCATTTTTTTTTAAAATGAACCTTCACATTTGCCTTAGCCAACTTGAATTTCTTAACAAATGCAGAAGCCTCATTTCAGCTTTAGTTTATCTGCATTCTGTTTTAACAAATTATAGTTTCCATCAAGAAAGCAGATATATTTCAAAAAGCATGTAGTGGTTGTTGTTTATTCACTTGTTGCACACCTGTTAATTCACCATGGAAGTCTTCAACTCTATATAGTTAGCCCATGCTGACAGGACATCACATATCTGGAAGCCTGCATAGAGAACCATACAAAATCTAATCTTTACATGGATCAAGTTGATTTTGAGCCTGCCCAACAATGGAGTGCTACAAGATTGGAGGCTGATGAACATCCCTCAGCAGTGAAGTCTGCAATAGGGTAATTCAAGCGCTTAAAGACTACATTTGATTTTTATAAGAACACTCTTTGATTATGCGAGCATGCTGAGTGGCACATATGTTCCTAATATACTGGCATTTTATCTGTTGCAATTTAATATGTGAATGAAATGGATGGTTGACTATGCCAAATATCTGGTCTGGGTTCCATTCTCATGCAGGGACCTCTGTAAACAACCGATCTTCATCAGAGCTGGGGGAGGAATATACAATTACCTTTATCAGCTAAGATCATCATCTGATGAAGCCAGTCAAACGAAGTCCGAGGGAAGCAGTATACTTGGTAAATTTCAGATAACATGGCGTACGAACCTGGGTGAACCAGGCCGTTTGCAGACTCAAAACATTCATAGCACTGTTAGTGACATTCCTGCTTCTGATTTAATTATCTTATGTTTTGTGTTGAACTTTTCTGTTCTTAGTTACTGTGATATTGAGCCTGAGGTTATCCTTTTGCTCCCTTATTATTGAATTGCTTCCATTGCATTTAATATTTGCAAGTCTTTTTTCTGGCAGCCGACTGCAAGCAAAGATGTTGATCTCCGTGCTGTGAAAGTTCCACCTATCATATATGTGGAAAGAGCATTCATGGTAATCAATCCTGATTGGTATTTCTTCTAAGATTGGGCATACTATTACTATTGCTTAGATAGTCATCTCATGCAATTTCATGCATGATAAATTTACTTTGGCAACGATTTATTTTCCTTTACTGAGGGGATCCTTTATTTTCAGATTCTTGTGTTCTTTAAGAACTAAATTGGAAGATATCTATTTTTGTATTCTCTTGTCCAGTGTTTTCAAGAAAATATTAGGTGGATAGGTCAGTGACGCCTGAATTCCTTTCTGGTCCGCCTGTTCTAATGTAGCTACTAGCTAGGAGCTTGTTCATTTCGGCTGAAACGATCGTGGATTATAAGCCAGAAGTACTGCTGGCTGGTTTGGTGTGAGAGAAAAATACTGTTCCAGCTTATAATCCACGATCGTATAAGCCGAAACGAACAGGCTATAGATCCTCTTATGCTCTTAGCTTATCCTGTTATCCGGCTTCTTGTTATATAGTTAATCCGATCTGAATAAATTTTCACATTAATATTTTCACAATTGCTCCCTCCAGTCCATTTTATCTGGCGCAAGTTAGAATTACACGGTCTTCTAGATTACACTTTGACCATTTATTTGCTTTATATTATATTATTTATGCTTATAAACTTATAATCATTGGATAGTATAATTTCTTACAAATCTAATCATATAAAGTTTGTATTATAATAGTTAAAAATTATTAGCCTAATTATTGGTCAAAGTTTTTAAAGTTTGAATCTTGATATGCGTGTGCGCCAGATAAAATGGTCCGGAGGGAGTAATTGCCACTGTGCCATACTTTACCTTCCAGAAGGCAAGCTATGCAGCAGGACATCAAGAATTCTTTTCCTTCGCTATTTCGCCCTTCAATTCATCCCACTTTTAGGTTTACTTGTATCGTCTTCTCATTTCCTTTTCATTACCACAAGGTTGATGTTGGTGTTTGGCCTCATGGTCCCTGGATTCAATCCTGTTTTTGCTATTACTCCTATTTTTCTGGATGAAACCACAGTTGTCTGCTTCCTAGCAATATTGTTAGAAGTGCAGTGGTGTATATATGTATTACAGCCTCTGCACTTGCCTGGGTATTTACTGTTGTCTTGTTGAATCAGTTAGGAGTTTGTTATGGTTTGATTTGTATGGCAACCAGCAATAATTACTGCAGGTCCATACATTGTCTTTGTTGGTTCCAGACTTTCAGTGCCATTTGAAGGAACTTGAAATAGTCCCCTTTTTGCATATCCATGACTTGTCTGCCCAATGGATGAGATGCATTTGCGTTATATGTGATCATTGTCTTAATACTGCAGGTCCATACGTTCTGTCTTAGTTTTTTGCATTTCTACTGCTGTTGTCTAATGTACGCGAGTGTCTTCAGGTCAATCTGTGCCTTACAAATCAAACGGACAAAACTGTGGGCCCTTTTGAAGTATTTCTAGCTCCAAGCATGTCGGGTGAAGACAGAGCTGTTCTAGTCAATGGACCACAGAAGTTGGTTGGTTGCTTCACTTGCATGTTATTTTATACCTATCTTGGTACAAGGCTAGACTAGGTGGTGGTTGAACTCATTAGAACACAATGTTTTTTACTCCTTCCGTTCCAAATTATGTCGTTTTGGCTTTTCTAGATACATAGCTTTTGTTATGCACCTAGATACTACGCTATATCTAGATACATCGCTTTTGGAACAGAGGGAATACATAGGAGTGCAGAGTAGGCACACCTTGTATAATAACTTGTTTTCCCCCCAACTCTGATGATAATTATTTCACATTATTAAACTTGTTTCTCACAAGTTGTTACAAATACTCAAAAGCCAAAAACAATCATTATATTAGAGGACACTACCAGCTGATGACAGCTATTAGCTTGAGTGGGGCCATTTTTCTCCCTGTGTTATATTGAACATAATGCTGGTAGCATCTTTTCTTATTTCTGCTTTAACTGTGCACAGATTTTACCTTTGGTGGAGGCTTTTGAGTCTATGAAATTTAATCTGGTGAGGATGTTATCTGGACTCATAACTTATGTTATGTACATATCTCCTGGCTTTCCAAAATCAAATGTCTGCCCGTTTTTACATTGTATTTCAACAATTTTTGTGTTTATTAGTTTGAAAACTGGGTATTTATGGATCAGTTAGGTGCTTACTGCAATTCAGAAGTCTAGATATTTAGGTCAGTTAGGTGACCATTTTTACCATCTTTGGAATACCCTTGGTGCAGAGCATGGTAGCCACCCAGCTTGGAGTGCAAAAGATTTCCGGAATTACAATGTACGCCGTGCAGGAAAAGAAGTACTATGAACCTTTGCCCGACATAGAGGTAAACGTCTGCTTTTCATCAAATCATGTTTATTCTGCTGAGCATTAACACAATAGCACTTTGAATTGTTAAGTAGCAAGCGATCATATGAATTCACTTCCTGTCTTTTTCCCCCTTTCCTTCCTTGAATCTGCTGAAACCCTTCTGCGTGATTGCTTACATGGTGTCGCCTTTCAGATTTTTGTTGATGCAGAATAGCAACACCAAATGGGGGCCCATTTGACGAGCTGAAGATGCCTTTATGTCCTTTTCCTTGCCATGGGAGGTCTACATAGTTTACATAAAACACTGGCTGATGTAATATTGCTCACTGAACAACTGATACATGCGGTTGTAATTAAATGCATATTGATATCGAATTGGCTTCTATCCGATGTCATGTAAGAGTTCCTTAGCGCCTCAGGATTTCGCTTGTACTCTTTCCAGACATTTAGTTTTAGTCATGCCATGCATTGCATTGATCCTCCCATTCAGCTAGCTGCCGCTATGGGTGTAATTAGTTTGCTACGGTAGGTTGCCTGTATTAGGTCTTATGCAACATAAATGTATGCAATATGTTGGTGTTTGGTTGTCCTGCAAATGCAAACACAAAGTAAGATTCTTTTGGTTGGTTATATTGTTTCGCATATGGTTACCTCCATGTTCCAGTATAGATGGGAGAGGGGAGAAAATACCCGACCTGTTCGCTGCAGCGTTTTCAATTCTAACTACAGTACATGGTAGAGGCCTGAAGAGCAGCGGCAGCGGCTGGTCTAACTAGTAAGACAATTGTTAGTTGTGTATTAGCTAACAGTTACCTGGACCCCATTGGATCCAAAGTAGCTAATCATTGGTAACTAACCATTAGTTCTATAGATCCAAATAAGATTTTATATAATGTGCTCCAAAAGGCCACAAATTCTGTAGCGTATGTAGTACGTAATATATAAAGGTACCCAACCTTGCAGAAGGGCACACAAGTACACGGCACTATAATAATGTTCATGCGAGTGCACCGGCCGATCCATCTGGCAAGCATCAACACTCAACAGTAGTGAGATCACTTGTGCTTATACTTGTTCCTCATCGTCGTTAATTACGCACAACAGAAGCAGTAGTTAGTTAAATTACTTTCCTTAACGCCCTGTTTGGCTCGCTGAAAGTGGCTGAAAAACACTGTTTTGGCTGAAATGTTGTGAGAGGAAAACACTGTTCCGTCTGAAAAAAGAAGCCGAACAAGCCGAATATAATATAAGCCGAACGGGGCCTTAAGTAAATTAAATAAAACAGGTGCAGTTTTAGTTCAGTTTGAGCCACCATGCATGCAAATGAAACACGCATATTCGCCCTGTTCGTTTGGGCTTGTTTGGCTTATAAGCCATAGCTGAAAGTACTGTTGACTGGTTTGGTGTGAGAGAAAAATATTGTTCATTGGCTGATAAGACATGGCTTATAAGCCAACGACCAAACGAACAGACTGATTAATTACGACCACAGCCTAGTTATTTATTGGGGGAATTCCCTGTGTGCCATTAAAAAAGATCGCAATGCCTTGTGTGCTCCTGAAAAAGTTTAGTGGTCTTCAACGCCACTGCTCCAACTTTTTCATGCCCTCCATGCCACTTCCGTCAGTTTGGGCTCTAATGCCGTCAAACTGCATGTCACAGAACCGACCAATTTATAAGAGTACAAGTACAATGCCAGTCCGCAAGCGGTCGCACTGTCATACTTGAACCCATATAAACCCGGTAGTCCGTCGAGTACCACGACGGGTCTCGATAAACGATTTACAACAACCAAGATCGTACATGATTCAACATACATGCCACATATTACATAAAAGTTCACAGATATATTTCATCATCAGAGTACGCATAAAAGTTATTACAAACCGAGTTTGATAGATAAAGCGGAAGCAAATAAGTTCGAAAATAAAGTTTCCAACATAGTTTGATACAGTGCCAAGATACGATCACGGTCCACAAAAGCATGTAGAAGGATTAATAAGAAGCCTGCCCGAGGCTTACTCCTCATCCACAGCGGGATAGAAGCAACTCTTGCAATAACCATGATATATACAGTGCCATCTGCAATATGGGAAAAATAAACCCGAGTGCGAGAAGGTACTCAAATTAGACTTACCCGTCATGAACCGAAACAAAATGACTCTTAAGGATTATGCAAAATTTGTATAAGTGGGCGTAACTTCGACAACATTTTGCATAAAAGCAATTGACTTCTTTGTCACGATTACAATTTCTTTATTCAGTTTAATTATAACTATCAATTTCTAGATTAGCAACTATCACATGCCAAATATGTGGTATATCAATTGAGAAGCATACAATAGTAACCATAGCGGTATTGTAATTCCATATTCCTCCGAACCATCATGTTTCATAACACGCTTACTACGATGTTGGAGCTAGTCAAGTTTCTCACTATCCGGGAGAGACGGCGATTCAATCGATTTCAACCACCGAATTTATTCCTAACACAAACCCAGTCTACCGACCATGATAGCCTTAGGTCACCTTTGGTACAACTCGGGTACACATTTCAGCGGGTTCAGATGCACGCCGCTTAACTGGAACACCAGATGTCGGGATGCTCGAGCCCACCGCCCTTGGGCTCGACCGATCGTTCCCGGAAGGGCGCACAATGTAAGCGGGTCCCGCCTGAATTGAATTACTCGGCTTCGGTCGGTCGGAACGAGTTATCCGGACAGCTAAGTGAGAGGCATGCGTTCAATCTTGTCGAAGTTCCAACAACGGTATGGTCCTTGATCGACCTGGACGGGGATAGATCCACACCCAAGACCTCCATGTCTTGTTGCTTCCCTATCGACATCCCGCCCGGTCTCCATTTACATTAACCATGGTTCTTTTTCACGATAGCAATTATAACCCACCGTGCTCGGTATCCACCTATATCTCGCAGTGACAGAAATCACCCGACTTCTACCGGTCTAAGCATGGCTAAGCATATATTCGATCCTGGACCTATACTTAGGTTAAAGGTGTAATAGCTGGACAAGGAATGTATATGCATCAAGTGGTTCCATTCAACTCTTATAACCTAATGCATCAATCATAAGTACTTAAGTAATCATTTGTAAAATACTGGGAGACTTAGAATGCTCCGGGGCTTGCCTTGTAGGAAGGAAGTAGGGCGGTGATCAGGACACTCTGGAAGCTCTTCAGGATTCTGCTCCACGCCTTCGGGAGTTGCGGCTTGCGGATTCTCCTGCTGGTCCCCTTTCTCTGCTTCTTCGAATTCCAGCAACGTTATCTCTTCCTCCGATCCTAGATGCATGAATATGGCATAAGTATTACGAATGCATATATGTTAACAGGTGCATCATGTTTATTGAGTAGGTGCATATCTTTTCTCGATTATTTAATTATCTACTTCCACAATGCATCGACTATATCACAAAACAGTAGCTACTTGTTTCACTCATAACTGGAGTTCTACTAATCCAAATCCAGTGATCCTAGACTTTCTGGAAAGCTTATCAAATTATCTACAACTTTGTTATTAACTATTTTTACAGCAAACATCATCTCTATCATGCAACTTAGCAAACTCCAGAATCTGTCCGGAAAACTATTCCAATTCGCATTATAAAGTAACAATACTTCTACTTCATATAAGTATTCAAATCTTTACGACCAAAAGTCTACCAGCAGTTTAAGCATACCAAATACATCTAAGAAAACATAATGGTGAAGCCCAAACTATTTATTTAAATGCCTTTATTATTTTATTTGAACCCCTAGGTTAAATAATAAACCTATACCAAATGTGCATCATAAATTCTCAGAAAATTACAGTGGCTTACTAGTGCTACCAATAGACTACTGTAAAAATTTCATGCCATTTTGCCAAGTAAAACATCCTATACAAAAATGACAAGGCAGCAAGGCTTGAAATAGCATAAATAGAAAACCTTAGTGAAAAGTGTCAAGCAACAGATTTTCTATTTTTCTTAGCATCCTTATGGTACTAGGATAACCTCCAACAAATTTCATGAATATTGGATTCCTAAATAATTTATAAAAATTTTCACAAGGATCTCCTAATTATAAAAGAAAAATCTATAACTACAAATCTACACATGCACTCATCTTAAAATTTTTACCAGAGCTCCTATATGCTAAGACTAGCTTACCACAAAAATTTCATAATTTTTGGAGCATAGGAACTCTAGATATAAAATAAACAAATTTGCATGCATTCAAAAATACATTTCAAATCCCTATTTAAATCTCCAAAAATTTCTACTGTAAATGTCAAGAACATATTTTTCCTAAATACTACACTTCCTAAGGAACACTAACAAATTTATTTCACAATTTTTGAAGCTACCAAACTGAAGATACAAAAATTACAAAACATATGAAATCTGCATTCAAAATGAACTGGCTTTAATACATGTAGTCGCTGACAAGAGGGACCCACTGGTCAGTTGACCCCACCGGTCAGCGAGACAAAACAGAGCCGGCGGCGCTACTCTACGGTCGCGGCTAGAACTCGACGGCGGCAAGTTCGCCGGCGGTGACATCTTCACCAGACGTTCTACTTGACGAGGCGCATCGTTTGCACTACTTGCCCGACCCTAACAGCGACTCTAGTGACGACGGCGGTGACCATGGCAGATCGGTGACGCTGGACGATGGCGCTACGCCGGTGATGACCTCGGTGGCTCGACCTAAAGCTCGGACGAGCACCAGTGTCCTACGGTGAACCTATCGCGCAAGGTTTCATGGTCTACGGTGGAGGGAGGTGCCCCAGCCACGGTGACGGGCGCGGCGGGGATGCTCCGGCGAGCTAGCGCACAGCGCCATTGCTTACCAGGTGTGGTCAGCTAGCGCGGGTGGAGACAGTGGGTCGCTGGGGAGCTAGTGGTGCTGCTGCGGTGACGATTGGGCGGCTCGTCGCGGGCCTGCGCATGGCTATGGCGACGGCGGTGCTGCTCGGTGCTGCGGGAGCTCGGTGGCTCTGCTGTGGCGAAGAAGGAGGCCGGGAAAAACGAAATGAGGGCGCTGGGCGTTGCGGGCGAACGTTGGAGTGTTGAAGCCGCGCTCAGGCGCGTCGTGGCCTACGCGGTCAGGGCAACGGCGACGCGCGGCCACCGCGACCTCCACGCGGCGCTCGGTTCTTGCCGGTGTCGGCCACTGAACATTTTGATTCAGTCGATTCAGACAAGGAATGCC